GTTTAGAAACATTAAAATTGTAAAGTTGCAATGCAAAAGGTTATAATAGTACATTTAATAAGATAGTTTCATTTCTTTTCTATTCTTTATCTTTTCCAAGACAAAAGTATGAGTTACTATTATCATTTCTTTTGTTTCCATCATCATTTCTTTCGTTTCCATCATGATTTATTCAAACGCTAATCAATGATTAAGTTATTATTTCATTTATTTTCTTTCGTAATTAATGTTATCGTTTCCTTTCTTTTCTTTTCCATCCTACTTATCCAAATGAAATTTTGAACGTCTTGATGCTGTTTTGCTTCTGTTCTCGGACATTTTGGTTGGTACTTCTCACCTCATTTATTTCTTTATCATCACCGGATTCATCAGATTGTCCCTGTGATCTGCTCAACCTTTCTTCTTCTATTGTTTCCATGAAAGTTCTTCCTGCACATCAAGGATAATTATGAATTTTTGAAAGGCTAGAAGGTGTTTCGTTAATTATAAACCTCCTCCTTTTTTTCTTTTCTTTTGTGTGCGTGTAATAGAAGCACTTGGTTAAGAATCATTTGATAATTGAAAGCACAGAAAATGATTAGCAACAAGAGGGGTGAAGGTTTAAATCAAATATTTTAATAATTTAAGGGGGTAATAGTAATATTTTATGAGTATATAGAAAAAACAAAAATTAGAAGGGTGTATTACTAAAAAAAAATTCACGGAGGCAACCCCATATACATGTAGGTCATAGCTCATTTAATGAATCCGGATTCATTCTTGAACTCGAGCTTTATTGACTAGAAAGGATCGGAAATGGTCAACTACAAGTATTACAAACAAGACACGATTCTAACCAACCATTACGCTTAACACAATTAAATTTATTTTCAACATATTAAATCTAACTAAATCACGTTGAAGATAGAATTAATTAAATTGAAAAATTACAGCATGCTACAACACATGATCCAGATGCCCAAAGAGCTACTTCTGGCACAAACATGTTCCTGAATGCAGCCAGTCAAGAGAAGCTTAATTCAAACTTTGCTTGTTTATTTAATGAATAAATATGAAGGTGTGTTTTCGTGTTAATAACTATCCAAAATGTGAAAAAGTGTTGTAAGCATTTTTTTCAAACAATGACACATCAAAATAACATTATTATCACAAGAAACTCAGTACTTACTGGTTCCTCTAACTGAATGTGGTGTGGAGGCCGATAATGCAGCTGTAGAAGCAGCAACATCCGAAGCAAGACGAGCCATCTCCACCGCGCTATCGAACCATCTGTGAAGTTTGTCCACCTTGATCCGAAAAGCAATCAGAACATCCATTTGCATGTTCAACGCCTCAGCTTCCTTCACCACCTCTTCCACATTAGACTTATAAAACTTCAACACCTTATTGAACTCATTGTTAGAAATTAAACTTTATTTTATTTTAAAATGTCTTTGGAGGTTGTGGGTGTTTCTTTTTTTATTTGGTGTTTTATATTTATGTGAGTTTTTTATTGGAGTTAGTGGGGGCCATGAGAGTTACAACTAGTAAATGATTATGTTAGTGGGTTAGTGGGAGTTTTGTCTACTAAATGGTCATGTTAGTGGGGTGTTAATTTTCATTTACATTTATTTTTTGAAGCCTATATAAACCCATGCATTGTACTCATTTTTAATCAAGTGAAATAAAAAGTGATTTCCTCCATTTTTATTCTCTTCCAAATAGTATAGTGTTGTGTGTGTAACTAGGCCACTATTTCCAACAAAGTGGTATCAGAGCTAGTTTGTGTGAGAGAGAAGAAATGGCAAACAATTCGGTTCCATTTTAAATGCCTCGATTCACCAAAGATAACTATGAAAATTGGTGTATCCGTATGAAGGCAATTTTGGGAGCATAAGATGTGTGGGAAGTTGTTTCCAAAGGTTATGATGAGCCAGAAGATGAGGCAACTTTGTCTTAAGCCGAAAAAGATGTTTTACAAGCCATGAGAAAGAAGGACCAAAAGGCGGTGATGACCATACATCAATGTTTAGATGATGGAATGCTACAAAGAGTTGCTAGTGCTGAAAATGTAAAGCAACTATGGGAGATTCTTCAAAATTCCTTCCAAGGAGTTGATAAAGTGAAGAAGGTTCGCCTCCAAATGTTATGGGGCGAATTTGAAGCATTGCATATGAAGGAATCTGAATCAATTTCAGATTATTTTTCGAGGGTCCTGGCTATTGTAAATCAACTAAGAAGATATGGCGAAACCACCATGACTGATACAAGGGCGTTGAAAAGATCCTTTGGTCGTTAGATTCCAAATTCAACTACATTGTTGTAGCCATTGAAAAGTCAAATGATTTGGATTCCATGACTGTTGATCAACTCATGGGTTCGTTGCAAGCTCATGAAGAAAAGGTGGTGAAGAAACAAGAAGCTTTGGAGCAAGTGCTACAAACAAAGTTTTCGTTGAACAAAAGAGACGAAAAATATGAAGGAAATCAAAGGGGTCGAGGACGTGGAAATGCACGTGGCCGAGGAAGAGGAAGAGGCCGTGGAAGAAGAGAAAGAAACGGTCAACACACAACCAACAATGAAGAAAAAATCTATGGCTCACAACAAATAAGAGGTCGTGGTAGAGGAAATTACTCAAGGTCATATGGAAGGAGGTATGATAAGTTTCAAATTCAATGTTATAATTGTCAAAAGTATGGTCATTATGCTTCGGAATGTAAAAATGTTGCTAACGATGTTGAATAAAAGGCTAATTATGTTGATGAAGAAGTGGAGCCTACTTTGTTGTTGGCATACAAAGGTGAAAGGAGTGATCAAGAAGATGTGTGGTATCTTGACACCGGTTCTAGCAACCATATGTGTGGTAGCAAAGAGAAGTTCGTTGATATTAATGAATCAATAAATGGCAAGGTGACATTTGGAGACTTATCACAAATTCCAGTAGGAGGAAAAGGTAAAATATTGATTTGTTTGAGGAATGGGCATTATCAATTTATCTCTAATGTTTATTATGTGCCTAATATGAAGAACAATATTTTGAGTTTGGGACAACTCTTAGAAAAAGGCTACAATATTTCTATGAAGGATTGTAGTCTTTCGATAAGAGACCCATTGGATAATTTGATTGCCAAGGTTCCAATGACAAAGAACCGGATGTTTTTGCTAAATATTCAAGCCGACGAGGCTAAATGTTTGAAGCTAGACTTGTGTTAATGATTTAACTTGGCTTTGGCACTTGAGACCTGGGCACTTGAATTTTGGAGGATTAGAGTTGTTGGCCAAACAGAAGATGGTGATGGGATTGCCTTTCATTAGCAATCCAAATCAATTATGTGAAGGATGTCTCGTTGGAAAGCAATCAAGGAAAAGTTTTCCTAAAGAAGCTACCAAAAGAGCTGTGGCGCCACTACAACTTATCCATTCGGATGTTTGTGGTCCAATTTCTCCATCATCATTTGGTAAGAATAATTATTTTTTATTATTCATTGATGATTTTAGCCGAAAAACATGGGTGTATTTTCTTAAACAAAAATTGGAGGTGTATGAAATTTTTAAGAAATTTAAAGCACTTGTTGAAAAACAAAGTGGCTATGATGTAAAGGCTCTTCGATCCGATAGAGGTGGTGAATTCACATCAAATAATTTTAAAAAATTTTGTAAAGAAAATGAAATTCACTATCCTTTAACGGTTCTAAGATCGCCCCAACAAAATGGAGTTGCAGAAAGGAAGAACTGAACCATTCTCAATATGGCTCGAAGCATGTTGAAAAGCAAGGAAATGCCTAAAGAATTTTGGGCTGAAGCGGTTGATTGTGCGGTGTACTTGTCCAACTGGTGTCCTACTAGAAGTGTGCAAAACAAAACACCACAAGAAACATGGAGCGGAAAAAGCCAAGTGTCTCTCATTTGCGGGTTTTTGGGAGCATTGCCCATGTGCACGTGCCGGATGAAAGGAGGACCAAGTTAACAACAAAAGTGAAAAAATTGTGTTCATTGGCTATGATGCAAGTTCCAAAGGCTACAAGTTGTACAATCCAAGTAATGAGAAGATTGTCATTAGTAGAGATGTTGAATTCGAAGAGGGAGCCACATGGGATTGGAACACTCCAAATGAAGATTATAATATTTTTCCAATTTCTGACGAGGAAGAAGAAAATGAAGGCATGGAGCAGCCCATTTCTCCATCAACATCACCTCTACCACCATCAATTCAAGATCAATCAACTCCATCATCATCAAGTTCAAGTGACACACCACCACTTCGCATGAGGAGTCTTCATGACATATATGACGAAACAGATGAGGTAAAGGAAAGGTTAGGTGATCTAACACTTTTTTGTCTCTTTGCGGATTGTGAACCCGTAGGATTTGAAGAGGCGGCACAAGACAAAATATGGAGAAATGCTATGGATGAAGAAATTAAATCCATAGAGAAGAATGACACATGGGAGCTTGCTACACTTCCAAAAGAGCAAAAGGCAATTGGTGTCAAATGGGTGTATAAAGCAAAGAAGAATGCAAATGGTGAAGTTGAAAAATATAAAGCAAGATTGGTCGCCAAGGGGTACAACCAAAAGCCCGGGATTGACTATGATGAGGCAGTTGCACCCGTAGCTCGTTTGGAAACAATTAGATTGTTAATTTCTTTGATAGCCCAGAACAATTGGAGAATCCACCAAATGGATGTGAAATCGTCTTTCTTGAATGGGTTTCTTAAAGAAGGGGTGTATGTTCAACAACCCATGGGCTATGTTGTAAAGGGGCAAGAAAATAGAGTCTTGAAATTGAAGAAGGCTTTATATGGCTTGAAGCAAGCACTAAGGGCGTGGAATAAGCGAATTAACAAATATTTTCAAGACAATAATTTTTCAAAGTGCCCATATGAACATGCTCTTTACTCCAAAGTAAGTGAGAATGGAGATGTATTTTTTGTTTGCTTGTATGTGGATGATTTAATCTTGACAGGTAGCAATCCAAAAATGTTTGAAGATTTCAAGAAGGTTATGGCTTGAGAGTTCGAGATGACAGATATTGGCATTATGGCTTATTATCTTGGCATTGAAGTCAAGCAAATGAAGGATGGAATTTTCATTCACCAAGAAGGCTATGCTAAGGAAATTCTCAAGAAATTCAAGATGGAAGATTGTAAATTGGTGAACATGCCCATGGAAGTTGGAATTAAATTGTTAAGAGATGAAGATGGAAAGACGGTGGATCCAACATTTTTCAAAAGTCTTGTTAGAAGCTTGAGATACTTAACATGCACAAGGCCAGAGATATTATTTGCGGTTGGGCTTGTTAGTCGGTTTATGGAAAGACCCACCATAACTCATTTCAAGGCGGCTAAGAGGATTCTTCGTTACATCAAAGGTACCATTGATTTTGGGTTATTCTATTCATTTACTAATGATTTCAAGCTTGTGGGTTATTCTGATAGTGATTGGGCCAGAGATTTGGATGATAGAAAAAGTACTTCTGGCTATTGTTTTTTCATGGGAAATGTTGCTTTTACATGGTGCTCAAAGAAGCAACCCATTGTCACCCTCTCAACTTGTGAAGCAGAATATGTTGCAGCCACTTCATGTGTTTGTCAAGCAATTTGGTTGAGGAATTTGTTGAAGGAATTACATATGCTACAAGAAGAGTCAACGGAGGTTTTTGTGGACAACAAATCAGCAATTCTTTGGCCAAGAATCCGGTGTTTCATGAACGAAACAAACATATTGATACAAGATTTCATTTCATTAGAGAATGCATAACCAAGAAGGAGGTGGAACTCAAGTTCATCAAGTCACAAGATCAAGTTGCGGATATTTTCACCAAGCCCCTCAAGTTTGCAGATTTTCACAAGTTAAGGAGTTTGCTTGGAGTTGAAAAAAAATCAAGTTTAAGGGGGGGGGGGGGGGGGGGGAGGGGGTGTTAGAAATTAAACTTGATATTATTTTAAAATGTCTTTGAAGGTCATGGGTGTTTTTATTTCTTATTTATTTTTATTTGGTGTTTTATATTTATGTGAGTTTTTTTATTGGAGTTAGTGGGGGACATGAGAGTTACAACTAGTAAACGGTCATGTTAGTGGGTTAGTAGGAGTTTTGCCTACTAAATGGTCATGTTAGTGGGGTGTTAATTTTCATTTACATTTATGTTTTGAAGCCTATATAAACCCATGCATTGTACTTATTTTTAATCAAGTGAAATAAAAAGTGTTTTCTTCCTTTTTTATTCTCTTCCAAATAGTATAGTGTTGTGTGTGTAACTAGGTCGCTATTTCCAACACTCATCATCCAGCCTTCTGAAGTACACCATCTCGTACTTGCCACCTTCCTCCGCCGCCCTGAGGAGCATAGTCTTGTGTTTCCTAGCCACCAAGCCTCCTTCCTTGACGGAATTGACCAGAATGACTTGGTTTTCAATGTCTGGTTGTACTGTTGGGCTTTTGGGACTGTTGTTGGATCTTCTTGTTAGGCCACTGAAAGCTTTGTAAAGTGAGAGCTTTCTCTTTAGACCTTTGGGTGTTGATGGTGCTCTGCTTCGCTTGAAATCTTAGATTTCTTTCAAATGGGTTTTTAGGTAGTCATAATCCATGTATGCTTGTTGCCATTCTGGCACCATTTGTGACACAAATTCTTTGCCAAACTTTATTTTTTGCTTTTATATATCTATATCTATATCTATATATGGAATGGTATGGATCAAGTAATGGATTGGTGAAGTGTCTATGGAGATGATTAATTAATTGAGCAAGAATTAAAGAAGGGTTATGGGGTGAAATTTGGAAGCAATGTACATTAATGGTGAGAGACTGGAGAGACAGCTTTATTAGGTAGCTAGCCCTATATAAATGAAAGAGAAAAGACCATTTCAGTGTTCAGCTACTATTATTAGCAGTACAATCTCGAAGACCATTTAGGGACGCGCAAGGTGATGGCTTGGTCTAAAGCTTTGGGGGGGGGGTGATTTTAGTGTTCAGTTACTGTTATTAACGGTACAATCTCTGTAACGATCCAAAAGAAACCCAAAATAATAATAATAAAATAATAATAAAAAAATTCGGCATGACCTCCGTAGAAAATGTTCCTCAACAACCTGTTGAAATACATAAAAAGATGCAGTAGCCTCACTGGGCCTTAAAAATAACCTATCATGTCCCAACGCACAATACATGTATTACATCACATTCCCAAAATAATTATATACATATCAAAAGTTCCCTGTTACAGACCATAAATGTAGCTAAAGTTTTAAAGTCCAAAACTTACAACATTTTACTGATTAAACTAAAGTTTCTCAAAACAGTTAAGATTACATTTACAAAATACTAGAGTTTAATACAAAAGATAACAAAATAAAATAAGTCTTCAAACTCGTCTAAACCTGTGGTGGATCGTCTTCCTCCACCCCTTTTCCGTGTCCTGAAAAATGTTTAAAAATAATGGGGTGAGCATAAGCTTAGTAGAAGTGTTTAAGACACACTTCTTATATCCTCTTGAATTTCACACAAAGAATGGGCAAAAAGGAACGGGGTCATACCATGAGGAAAACATAATCTCAACCACAACAACAAGAACCTAGCAAATGTCAACAAATTACAAATTTTCCCACAATGTCATGAAATGCAATGTTATGCAAATGTCACTCCCCGTTTCCGAAACAATTTCGTTTCAATAATCAAACCGTTAGTGTGGGTTTATTGGGTAGTTAGCTCTATATAAATGAAAGAGAAAAGACCATTTCAGTGTTCAGCTACTATTATTAGCGGTACAATCTCTGTAATGACCCAAAAGACACCAAAATAATAATAATAAAAAAATTCGGCACGACCTCCGCTAAAAATGTTCCTCAACAACCTGTTGAAATACATAAAAAGATCCAATAGCCTCACTGGGCCTTAAAAATAACTTATCATGTCCCAACGCACAATACAAGTATTATATCATATTCCCAAAATAATTATATACATACAAAAAATTCCCTTCCTTCATCTCATCCAAACAAGGAACAGTCCTGTTACAACAAGTTACAGACCATAAATGTAGCTAAAGTTTTAAAGTTCATAACTTACAACATTATACTGATTAAACTAAAGTTTCTCAAAACAGTTAAGATTACATTTACAAAATACTAGAGTCTAATACAAAAGATAACAAAATAAAACAAGTCTTCAAACTCGTCTAAACTTGTGGTGGATCGTCGTCCTCCACCCCTTTTCCGTGTCCTGAAAAATGTTTAAAAATAATGGGGTGAGCATAAACTCAGTAGGAAGTGTCTAAGATACACTTCTTATATCCTCGTGAATTTCACACAAAGAATAGGCAAAAAGTAACGGGGTCATACCATGAGGAAAACATAATCTCAACCACAGCAACAAGAACCTAATAAATGTCAACAAATTACAAATTTTCCCACAATGTCATAAAGTGCAATGTTATGCAAATGTCGCTCCCCGTTTCTGAAATAATTCCGTTTCAACAATCAAACCGTTAGTGTAATCCGACCTAAGGCACCTCCAAGGCATCACGAATGGAGAGTTGACTAACAATTCACGAACACAAGACACCTCCAAGGCGTCGCATCCGACCTAGTTAGCTCAACCATACTCCCTTCTATACTACACTAACATCACGAACCACTAGGTGCCTCCTAGGCGTCCAGTTTTCGCAAACTCCTTTAAAAAAATATATTTTTCCCAAGAATAAATTCATTTATTTTAAAACATTTTTCCTCCTATTTCTTTCCCTATGGATGCATAAATGTTTCATGCTACATTTCATCAATTCAACCATAAAGTTTCCACATACTTTTTCAAATAAATTAATAAGTTACTAAAAATGGACAACGCATATTCTCATTCCATATTTTACTAGTAATTTAAATCAACAATTCACAAATTTATTTCCATACTTATAACATAAATTTTCATAGCAATTGAAATCATGAAAACAAACCAACACTAAGCATGCTTCTTTACAAGTTAAAAATCATTATACTAATAAACTCAATTAACACATAACACACATTTATCACCAACAATATAAATAACCTTAACAAACATAATCACAAAAAATTAAAATTAAGCATGCTTAAAGTCAAATTAAAGGGAAAAATTCACAAGAAATGCAATAATTAGTGGATTAGAGCACCCCTACCTCAAATTTGAGAAAAAGCCCCAAAATGGGTCTCAAATTTGAAATCCCTAGAGAGCACTAAAGCTGAAATTGTTGGTACTCACATGTAGACCTCGCCATGCTCTTCGATTTGCCGTAAACGGCACCCAAAAATTCCAAGAATGGAAGGAGCAATCAAAGGTTGAAATTGTAAAAGAGAAAAAAAAAAAAAAAAAGAAAAGAAAAGAAAAGAAAAGAAAAGCTTCTGGACATAGATATGCAAAAAGAGAAAAATGGAACTGGTTAATGGCTATTAGGCCTTATGTGGTGTTTAAAATGTCAATGGGGCCCACTACCTTTTTATTTTTTTATTTTTTAAAAAAAAAAAACTAAATAACTTTAACATATATATATATCCGTAAAACATTACATTCTCCCTAACTTTAAAAGATTTCATCTCCGAAATCAAGCCATACCTGAGGGAGAAAACAACTCTGGATACTTGGAGCGAACCTCCTGTTCGAGCTCCCAAGTAGCCTCCTCAACTTTGTGATGCCTCCAAAGAACCTTTACCAACGGTGTCGTCTTTTTTCTCAACACCTTTTGTTGTGTGTCAATGATCTGAACTTGTAATGACCCGGTCTTTTTCCTCCTTTTCCATTTTCGGCAATTTTCTTTTTTCGTCTTTTTCCTATTTTGTCTTTTCCTTATTTCGTCTTTTAGTCATTTTTCATTTTTCCGTGCATAACCTCACTTGTTGTGCTCGGATTTGATTCCGATTTTGCATGTATTCATGATATTTGATTTTTATGACATTGGTATTTTTACTTTTCTTGAAAAATGTGCTAGATTAGTACTTTTCTTGTAAAGGGCATGAATGCATACTTTAGTGTAATTATTTATAACTTTTGGGGTTTTAGTGTAATTATGTAAAATAATTATTTTTCATTTTGGGGACCTGTTTACAATTTATTTTGGAGGATATTTTGAAAAAGGACCATTTTGCAATTTTTGGAAAGTGTGACAAGTGTCACACTCTCATGGAGCCATTTGTTGGCATTTAGGTGAAAGATTTGGCACCATGACTTCTTGACATTTGGTGGGTGGAGATTCATCCATGTGTTGGCCTTAAATTGGTGCACATATAACCATTGATTATTGACTAGTGTAAGCTTGAGATTAAGCATAAGGATAGAGCCTTTGATTTGTGACAAGTGTAGGATCAAGATTTAGTCTTGCAAGTGTATGTGTGAGAGGTAGTGTAAGAGCACATAGTGAGTGGAGGATCTCAAACCCTTCCACTTACCATTTTTTTCACTTATCCTCTTCATTTTCCTTAGTTCTTCAAAGTTCTAACCAAGCCACCATTGGAGAAAAGCTTGGTTAATAGCTTTCTTCTTCAATTTTGGTGCCCTTCCATTTATCTTAGACTAAGAACCTTAACTAGTAAAAGTTTCCTCTCATTCTCCTCTTCATTAACCCTAAGCTTGTTTTCCATTTAGTGCTTGGTTGCTTGGATTATAGAGATTCAATTCTCTATTGAGGTAGGGGTGGTAGTATGTTTATATTTTAAGTGTTTTATAATTCTTTGGGGTTTAATATATATTGTGTACATGCTTCTAACATGATAGTCTTGCATATTATAGGAAATCCTT